TGTTGTTGTTAAGTGCCTTTGAGTCAATTCCGACCCATAACGACCCTGTATAGGGTTTCCGAGGAGCAGCTGGTGAGCTTGAACCACTGACATTGCAGTTCAAATGAGTTTGCAGTCTGATGCATAAGCCCCACAGTGCCACGATGCTCTCAAATCAGTACTGATTCATAGCAACCTTATGCACAATAGAGCACAACCCTATACAGTCCTGTGCCAACTTCAACAATTGTTGCTACATTTAAATGATGTTCAATTATTTCCATATTCTACTGTATCACCTTTCTTAAGAATGGGCATGATTACGGATCTTTTCTAGTCAGTTTACCAGGTGTCTTGTCTTCCTAGATTTATTGGCATAGGGGAGTGAGCATTTTCCATGTTGCCTTCATTTATTGAAACTTCTCAATTGGTTTTTCACCAGTGCCTTCAGTGCAGCTTGGACTTCTTCCTTCTTGATCATATGCTATCTGTTGAAATGGTTGAAAGTCAACCAATTCTTTTTGGTACAGTGACTGCATATTCATTACATTTTTTTGTTTAATTTAACCAGTTACAGAAGAGCTTAGATGATCAGATTTTCCCAATTTAAAGTTGATAGAAAAGATCATTAAACCCTGTTTTGTCTTTTTTATCAAAATCTGACATAAAAGGGGAAAGCAGACTACAAACTTCTACCTAAATGTAACTAGAGCTAGACTCCCTGGGGGAAGGGGCTGTGCCCTTCTTCCTTGTTCCAACACTCCCCCCACCCACAGCCACTGATGCAGAAATAAGTCAGCTTCTCACGAAGTCCCAAGTCTGAGCCAGAATGGACATGGGAAGAGGTTATGGGGGAAGAGAAGGGAAAAGGGGTTTGCCTTCCTCCAACCAGACCCCACTCTCTGCCTTGATGAGCCTTCAAGGATGGGCTGAGGGAAAAGTAAAGCAAATATATTATTATATAAATTTACTGTAGATATGCCAAAGCAAGATGACAGAAATACTTTACAAGACGTCCTTTATACAATACCACTGCTGAAACAAGTAGCTTTTAATAACTAGAAAAGTCATTTTTTAAAAAATTAAACATTTCCATTCTTGCTACTTTGCTTCTCCCCCAAGAGCTTGTCTTGTATGTGGGTGGGCTGGGCTCCAACACCCCTCTGGCCAGATCTGTTCAAAGTAAAGGTTTTAAGCATGATTAGAAGTAGGACTCAGTCTCCAAGTGAAGTGCCTTTGTTTTTTGTTGTTGTTGTTTTTTGTTTTGGTCTTTTTTGAGGGGTAGGGTGAGCTGGGGGTGAAGAGAGAGTTGTCACAGTGGAGGGGAGGGGTGCTGAGGAATGACTCCAAGACAAGACCCTTCACTCTGCCAAGATCAAATCAAAAGACTACAAGTGTTTCATGATGCTGGTGGATAGAGTTCTGTATGGCACTCACTGCTACCTGTCTCTCTCTCTTTGTTCGGTCTTTGTCCCCTGGACTGTCCAACAAGCTCTGGCTCACTGTCCCCTTCATCTTCAGGAAGTTGGTCAGGAAACTTCTTAGGTTTTCCGTGGACATACGGGTGGCCAGGAAGGTGTATGTACAGCAGAGCCACCAGACACTATTCCGTCTTGTCTTCACCATGTAGTTCAGCACATGGCTGCCACAGCAGTTGTAAAGCTCCGCGTTGGTAAACACTTGCTTCATGTGGGTGAGGAATTCCTGCACAGAGCAGTAGATCCCATGGGCACACTTGCTCTGCATTGTCTGGAAGTCCATGGGCTGGGTGATCACTTCATAGTAGTCTTCAGCCTTATCTCTGGTCACAGGCTCCCTGAAAGGCCAACTGAAGCGGTACTTTACAAGCTTGTGGAGGATCTCTTCAGAGTTCTGCAGTTCGAGGCTTTGCCTCCTGGTGCTGTGCTCCGCTTCCTTTGAAGCAAACAAACTGAGGAGCAGAAGGGAGGGTCATGTCCCTCAGGCAACAACTATCAGCAGAAGACCCAGCAGTCCTCATTACATTGTCTTTTGTTTGTTTTATTGTGAATTATGTCATAGTTTACATGGCAGAATATTAGTTTTACATTCATCCTATCGTATATTTTCATTGCCATGGTTACAATCCCCTCCCTGCATCATCAACCAATCACAGAGTATACCCTGCAAGCCTGTCCTCCCGGCAGTCATCAGCACACAGCCCCTCTCCCTCTCTGGGTCTAAAGTTCCCCAGCCACTCCATCTCTCCACGTCATCATCGTCTCTGCCTCCATCTCTGGTGTCACCGCTTCTCTGGGTAGGGTCCCACTCTCCGCTGTTCTCCCTTGATGGTCCCAGGGACCTCTGCTCCTAGACTGCAAAGTTAATCTCTCCCCTCCTTGCTACAAAACGTCTACCTTTACATTTCCAACCCTCACTATCAGTCCTGGTAACAATTATTCACTATTGTATCACAAGAGACCTATCTGCATTTCCTTTCATCAACCCTGCCTAGACAGATTGGATACTACTCAGTGGAGATTCTACCTTCCTCCAGGCCCTTCATTACATTGCCTTTTGATAGCTTACTGCATCATTCAATTTTTTTTTTTTTTTTTGCCCATATAAACTTTTAGTATTGCAATTCCAGGCTTGAATTTTCCTTCAATTCTTTCAGTTCGAGAAATGCCAAGTGTGTTCTTCCCTCATGGTTTTCTAGTCCTTGGTGTTTGCACATATCAGATAAAGCTTTTGTTTGCATGTAACAGATAAAAATCTTATGCAGGGTCACTATAAATCGAAACCATGGAAGACTCATAGTGGCATTGTATAGGATTTTCAAGAGCAGCTGGTTGAACTGCTGATTTTTGGTTATCAGTCCAATGCTTATCCTATTTATATAACACCAGGGTTATAGATGAGAATTGTTAATTACCAGTTGAGTTAGTATCAACTCATAGTGACCCTGTATAGTTTCTAAGGAGCAGTTGGTGGGTTTAAACCTCTGAGTTTATGGTTAGCAGTCCATTGCCTATCCTACAGTGCCAACCAGGACTCCAGATGAGGATTGTTGCTATTGTTAAGTGCCATTGAGTTGGTTCCAACTCATGTTGTTTTTAAGTGCTGTTGAGTTGATTCTGACCCATAGTGACCCTGTACAGGGTTTCTGAGGAGCAGCTGGTGAGGTTGAACTACCGACCTTGCAGTTCAAATGGCTTTGCAACCTGGCACAGCACCACACCAGGACTCCATACTCATAGCGACCCTATATAAGATTTCCAAGGAGTGGCTGGTGAGCTTGAACTGCCAACCTTGTGGTTCAAACCGACTTTGCAGTCCAGCACATTAACTCATTGCATTAAACCAGAGCGCCACACATTAGAGATCTGTAAACACTGGACCTGAGGTAGCCATACCATTACTTTCCAGCACTTACCACATGATATTGAACTTGTTAGAAGTTCTGGGAACACTGTGGTTAAAAGCTTAGCTGTTAACCAAAAAGTCAATGGTTTGAACCCACCAGCTGCTCTGTGGGAGAAAGATGTGGTAGTTGGCTTCTCTGTTAAGATTTACAACCTTGGAAACCCTATGTGGTAGTTTACTTTTTCCTACAGGGTGTCTAAGTCTGAATCAGCAGGATGGTAATGGGTATTGAACATGTTTAATGTCTTTGAATTTATCAAGGGCAGGGTCAGACTTAGGGGAACTGAATTGCCAAGACAAAGAAACCCTGGTGGCACTGTAGGATAAGCATTGGACAGCTGATGGTAGGTAGACATTCCTCGGGAAAAAGATGAGGCTATCTGCTCTGGTAGCGTAGTGGTTACCAAACGGGCTGCGAACCACAAGGTCAGCAGTTCGAAACTACCAGCTGTTCCGTGGGAGAAAGATGAGGCTTTCTGCTCTGTAAGATTTACAGCTTTGGAAACCCTGTACAGGGTCGCTATGAGTCGGAACTGATTCCACAGCACATAACAACAACAACATCTGCTCCTGTAGGAGCTCTAGTAGCGTAGTGGTTACGAATTGGGCTGCGAACCTCAAGGTCAGCAGTTCGAAACTACCAGTTGTTCCGCGGGAGAGAGATGAGGCTTTCTGCTCCCGTAAAGATTTACAGCTTTGGAAACCCTGTACAGGGTCAATATGTATCAGAAGTGACACAACCACCATCTGCTCTTTAAAGATTTACAGTGTCAGAGATCCTAGATAGGATCCTTGAGTTTGAATCGCAGTGTTTTGGTTTGGCCAGGAAAAGGCTTAGCACTGGTGAATGAATGAGCAATTGCGTGGAGCTGAATTTCAAGGTGCCCTAGGATCTCTGGTAGAGCAGTGGTTACAAATCGGGCTGCTAACCTTAGGGTCAGCAGTTCGAAACCACCGTATGTTTCGTGGGAGAAAGATGACGCTTTTTGCTCCCGTAAAGAGTTACAGCCTCGAAAACCCTGTACAGTGTCACTATGAGTCGGAACCGACTCCACGGTAGGAAGTCTGGTAGGAAGGCGCTTAGTTGGCACAGTGGGTTAAACGTTGGGCTGCAAATGGTAAAGGTCGACGGTTCACCCACCGGCTCCGTGGGAGAAAGATGAGGCGGTCTGCTTTCATACAGATTTACAGCTTCAGAAACCCTACGGAGCAGTTGTCTTGTCCTATGGGGTCTTCAAGATTTGGAATCCATTTCACGGCAGTAAATCCGCTGGGCGGTGAGGGCACAGGTAACAATGATTCCTCAAGCTTTAGCCAGCTGCAATACCTTTGCTAAACTCATCTCGCGAAAGCGAACAGATTCCCCAAGGCAAGGACCTTTGATTGGAAGCTGGCATGACGTGCAGCTTCCCACTCAGTTTACAAACCTCTTCAATTTCTCCTACAGGCCGGGAAGTGTAGTTCTGTAACGTGCAGACGCTCACTCTAGGTTACAATGCATTTCGGGATATGTAGTTAAGCGGACGCCGGAGGCTACGAAGCGTAGTTCCGCCTCCTGAATGCGAGAAAGCGGGAACGCGTGAGGTCACTTCCGGCGTGCCGGGTGACTTCCTGCGGCGTTTCTACCCACACTCTCTTTTTTGCTGCCTGACCGACGCCATCATGGGTCGCATGCATGCTCCCGGGTGAGCTTGGGGTACCGAGCGGGAGGCCGCGCTGGGATGCAGGAGCCAGGGAGAGGAAGGAGTGTGGGCACCGGGCCGAGGGGTGATGTTCCGGGCTTCTGTGTCCCGGGCCACCACCTTCCCCTGAAACTGCTTCTCTCCCCAGGAAGGGCCTGTCCCAGTCGGCTCTACCCTATCGCCGCAGCGTCCCCACCGTAAGTAGCGTGCGGGGACTAAGGGAAGCCAGGGCAGCGCTCGTTGTGGGCTGGGGGCCTGTGCGTTAGGGGCGCTCAGGAGAGGGCGGCGGGCACTGCGGCGCGGCCCTAGCCTGCTTGCTCGTCCGAAGGCCGCTTCTTTCTCTCCTACCCACAGTGGCTGAAGTTGACGTCCGACGACGTGAAGGAGCAGATCTACAAACTGGCTAAGAAGGGTCTCACCCCGTCACAGATTGGTGAGGGTTTCTGCCTCTTCTCGCCCCTTCCGCCTCCCCTCGCGTGGCAAGCTGGCCGCTAATGCCTCGTGTGCTTTGCAAACCCTTGCCCATTTTCCTGACTTTACTCTTGGGGAGAGAGGCCTAGCAACTCTATAAACGTTTTTATCTGGCCGATGATAAAATGATTAAAAGACGACAAAATTAAGTGGTCATTTTCTCGGGGCTGGGCACTGTGTGCATGGTTTTAAGGTCTTTACGTATGCCGGCCTTAAGTCATTCTGACAGCAACCCCTTGGAGTACTGGTGGTGTTAAGTGCGGTCAAGTCAGTTCCGATGCATAGCGACCCTGTATAGGGTTTCCGAGGAGGGGCTGGTGAGCTTGAACTGCCCACTGCAGTTCAAGCCAACTTTGTAGTCCAGAGCATTCATTGACCCGCAGTGTCACGCCAGGACTCCTAGTTAACCCGCATTTTGTAGTGGGAACTGCGACAGTGCAGTTCAGCAACAAGATCCAAGTCACTGCTATTAAATGAAGGAGTGAGTCAGGGTTGGATTTGGACCCATTGACACTCCCTGACAGTTGAGTTAGGGATGCTTGGTTTTTTCTAAGGTGGTATGTGACCTGGTTAGCAAATAAGTACATTTACCTAATGTTTACCTAGTGTGTCAAACATGTATCTGGGACCTGAACATACACAGTAGTAAGGAAAAAGGCAAAATAATCTGCCTTTTGGAGTTCAAAATCTTAAGGAGGTATGACTGAAAAGCATAAACAACTACATAATAGACTGTCGGAATTGAGAACAGTTAATATTTTGAGATTTAAGAAGAATGTCTCGCAGGTTCTGAGCCTTGTACAAGTAAGTACAAATGTACAAATTTCCGTATCTTGAGTTACCTATATTGCAGCAAGCCTGCTATAATGGTGGTCTTCCAGACTTCACATTTCTACCAGAAAGATTTACCTTGTTAAATGCTTAAGTGCTGTCAGTTGGTTCGGACTCACAGAGACCCTGTATAGGGATTCCGAGGACTAAGTAGTGAGTTTGAACCACCAAGTGCTTAGCCTGTGGTGCCATGCCGTAACTCCTGCTTTGGGTGTCTGTGCTTTGAGTATATTCTGATGGTTTCTGTGGTTTGTTGTGAAGTGCCGTCAAGTCTGTTCCAACCCATAGCGACCCTTTATGGGGTTTCCAAGGAGCAGCTGGTGATCTTGAACTGCCAGCGGCTATGCAGTCTGACGCATTAACCCACAGCGCCACACCGGGACTCCTGATTCTGTGATATCTCACAGTAAATACCCTTTTACATGTGTGAGACTTGGGAGTTTTTACATCACCTGATCCAGTGTATCTGGTGTGGGAAGTTTATCTGTATAATATGTGATTTCTCTTCAGGTGTGATCCTGAGAGATTCTCATGGCGTGGCACAAGTACGTTTTGTGACTGGCAATAAAATCCTAAGAATCCTTAAGTCCAAAGGACTTGCTCCTGATCTTCCTGAGGATCTCTACCATTTAATTAAAAAGGCTGTTGCTGTTCGCAAGCATCTTGAAAGGAACAGAAAGGTAAGGGGGTAAATGAAAGCCTGGTGATGCTACTTTAGCATTGACCTCCCTCCCTGAAGTTTTCTTGGGTGTGTCTAGTTGCTTAAAAAGCTGGGGGTATTTATTTGCAGGGTTGCAAATCATTCCTGTTAAACATTCTCCTGGGATTTTCACCTAAAAACTTACTATCTAGCCATATCTATGTGCATGATTAGTCCACATTCGTGTGTTACATAGTTTTCTGAATCCTATCATTTTATTGTTAGGATAAGGATGCCAAGTTCCGACTGATTCTGATTGAGAGCAGAATTCACCGGCTGGCTCGCTACTATAAAACAAAGAGAGTCCTCCCCCCCAATTGGAAATAGTAAGTATCAACCTTTTTTTAAAATAAGTCTTATTTTTATGGTTTGCAAAGAGGAACGTATAAAAATAGCTGTGTGATTCTTGGTGTAGAATAGTTCGAGTCTGCAAACTTTCTGTAAAGAAAGGACCATGTAGTAAATATTTTAGGGCTTGCCATACCATGATCAAAGCACCTGTGGGCTTCAGGGTAAACCCAGGAGCTAGGCAAGACTTCCAGTAAACCTTTATCTGCAACCAGAATCAGAGGACCATAGTTTATAGACCCCTGATGAAGAACCGCTTTTGAATGTCTTTTAGGTAAAGTATATAAAATTTCTGTTTTTAACTGCTCTTAAGTACTTGTAGTTTTTGCATGCATTGCTCACTATGATGATTGATTTCCACACATTCGCAGTTTCCTCCAGAAAAGATTTTGTTTATGTTGGCCAGATCTTCCTTGGGTGTCTGAGTGAGCATTGAGCATCTTCATTCATTTAGTCCAAGTACAATGAACTCATTCAGGAATCCAACAATTTGGTGTATTTTGTATAGTTGTGGTTTGTTTGGAAATAGGGCAATTCTGTGAATATGGGGGTGCTAATCTTTTGTTTCCTCTCCCCCTTTTTTCTCTGCAGCGAATCATCCACAGCATCTGCCCTGGTTGCATAAATTTGTTTATGTACTTGAGCAATAAAACCATTGTTTAACTACAAGACTGTTTTGTATTTATTTAAGTTTCATGTATTGGTGATGTTGTTAAGTGCCATCGAGTAGGTGCCGACTCATAGCGACCTTATGTACAGCAGAATGAAACACTGCCTGTTCCTGGGCCATCCTCACAATTGTTGCCAGGCTTGAGCCACTTGGCCAATTGATGCTGCCACTTGGCCAATCCATCTCGCTGGGGGTCTTCCTTTTTTTCTTTGACCCTCCACCTTACCAAACATGATACCCTTCTCCAGCGACTGATCCCTCCTTAGATAATTAATTGCACGGGGTAAGATAGCACCAGAGCTCATCCCTTCACGGACTCCCTTGAACTATTTGTACAGTTTATGGTTTCCTAGGTTGTTAGATGCAAAAGTGAAAAATGGGAGACTAGAAAGTGATGACTCGGGATTTGGGAAGGGTGTGTATACATTTTTTGATGCATATTACGTTAAATACTGAGGTCAATGTGTGACATGTTGTCCACAGCATCAAAGTGTGTCACTGGATAAGGAGATGGCATGGAGAGAGGGACTTTACTGTTGTGAAGTGCAATCAAGTCGGTTCCGACCCATAGCGACCCTGTATAGGGTTTCCAAGGAGCAGCTGGTGAGACTGAACTACCGACCTTGCAGTTCAAATGGCTTTACAGTCTGGCGCATTGACCCACAGTGCCACAACAGGACTGCTGGAGCTTGGCTGGTGAGGTATGAAGATATTTAGGAGCTAAATTCCCTAGGTAATTTTGTCTAAATGATGTTTTTTAAATTTGCACAGAGTTTCCCTAAACATATGCATCTATTTGGTATTCCCACTGGGACCTCAAACTCCTAAACACTTGCTACTAGGGTTCTAGTTAATCCATGGCACAGGTTTATTCCAAGCAAGTATTTAAACATGTTTCTGTGATCAGTAGATGTCTGCAAACAAGATGTCTCAGCAATACACTTGTAGTCTTAAAAGATGCTGTACAAACACAGGTCTAATCAGAAACTGACTTTCCAGGGGATATGTTGGGCCAATTAAATTCAAGGCAGAAAAGTCAGCTCCAGAGGTTCGGGTGACTTAAGGGACAATGAATTTTTTATAATACAGGGAAACTTAGGAAGTTTTAAGGGTTTCTAAGGAGCAGTGGGTGCCACACCAGGAAGATGGAAACCACCTTCAGATATGTATAGAGTTTGCTGGAGGATGTTGGGAGGCAATAGCTTTACATTTTGATATTTCTGTTAATGTTTCTATGATTTTGTAGTACTATTCTTTGACTCATTCTCATATACAGCACTTATTGGCAAGTATAATTTCAGTCCTAGGAACCTCTGGCCTGGCATATCCAAAAGAGAACATTTTGGGAACTGGCTAAACATGATGGATTGATCACATTAATTTCTAGGGCATAAATGTATAATAAAGATGATGAAAATGAGATGATAGCAACAGCATTTTGGACACTGGAAAGCAGGTGGACTAGAAAATGGATAGATGAACAGTAAAGTGGCCGCTCTGAGAAAGCTGAAACCTGAGCTAGCAGTGGGGGAACCCGAGAAACACTTTAAACCTTGGGAAGACTCAAGAATTGGAGGCATCAGGTACCTTTAAAGAAGAGAGTGCAGGTAAGCTGAAAGCAAGTGTTAGCTGTAAGTCCACCTAAGAAACAGACTCCCCAGATAACTCCCGACCCTGTGCAGTGAAGTATTCCCCCAGCAGAAGACTAGAACTAAGGAATTTTGGACAGGTAGATGAGGGGCACAACTGAAGGTCAGAATGCTGTTCTGAACATGGAAGTTGGTAAAAGACTAGATAATGAAAGCATACACAATGGCCTCTGACCATTGAGGATCCCCTCCCCCAAAGAATGAGCACAGCCAAGGCCAACCTACAGGGGAGCTTAGCCCAGTCACAATCCTGCCTGCAGTTTCTAGTCAGATTTTAGAGCCATGGATTTACTGGGCATTTGAGGAAAGCGTTTAATATAAAAGAGCAACAGAAAATAAAGGAACTCAGAAGGTAGAAGCACAAAAAGCTTTAAAAATATATTCAGAGATGAGAAGATAACTACATTCATGAAACAACAGCATCTAGAAAAAAACAGAGGGAAAGGACAAAGGAGCTCTGAGTAGTGGTATGTTGGAGCTGGCCTGTGTGCAAATTCTGCGAGGTAGCTAGATGTTGAGCATTGTTGAAACAAATTAGGTGAACTCACAGATATGTTTAAAACAAACATAATAGTCAAAACTTACCACTTGCTAATTCTTTTTTTACAATTTCACTATTTTCTATGTTTAAAAAAAACTTTAACTTTATTGTGAATTGCGTGAAGGTTTACAGATAAGATACATCAATTATAGTTCAGTAAAGCATACACTTTGTTTTATCTCAATGATTTAAATCTCCTCATGCAACAACAGGTAGTCCTGTTTTCTCCCTGTGGTTCCTAGTTCCATTCCACCCCCCTTTTCCTCCCTCCTCAACTTGGTCCTTAAGCAAATGTCACCCTTTTGGTTTTAAATAATTATTCCATGGTAAGCATACCCAGAAAAATTTTGAGTTTTTTTCCACATGTTCTCCCACTCTACCCAGGACCTTCTCATGTGATCCCTTCAGAGCTATTAGTGAGCTAGCTGGGTACCATCTAGTTCTGGTTTCAGTTGTCGGGACTGATGTTCACATGTTCCATTAGTCCATCTTTAATTCTCATCACTCCTTCTTCTGCATGTGAAGAGACCGACAGTTGTACCTTGAATGGCTGCTTATGAGCTTTCAAGATCCCAGACAGTACTCACCAAAGTAGGATGTAGAACATTGCCTTTGTGAACTATGTTTTGCCAATTGAAGGTAATAAGTACCTTCTGCCAATTGAAGGTAATGGTGTCCTCTGAGACTGTTGTCCTGAACCCCCAGGCCCAGCAACTCATTGCCTTAAGATATTTGATAATATCTAAAAAGTTTTCATCACTTTGCCTGTTCCATCACTATAATTGTGAGTATGGCACTGTGGATAAAGCACTGGACTGCAAGGTCGGTTTGAACCACAAAGCCGATGGTTCAAACTCATCTGCCGCTCCTTGGTGGTTATGTGCTGTGGAGTCCGTTCTAATTCATAGCGACCCTGTACAGGATTTCCAAGGCTGTATGTAAATCTTTACGGGAGCAGAATGCCTCATCTTTATCCCGCGGAACAGGTGGTAGTTTTCAAACTACTGACCTTGCAGCTTGCAGCCCAATTTGTAACTACTACGCTACCAGATGAGGCTTTCTACTCCCGTAAAGATTTACACCCTCGGAAACCCTGTACAGGGTCGCTATGGGTCGGAACTGACTCAACAGCATTTAACAACAACAACGCTACCAGAGCTCCTTAGACAACCTTAAACAGGATCACTGTAAGTCGGAACCGACTCAATGGTATTTAACAACATGGATATGTATGTATGTATATGTGTGTCTATATATATATCCCACTCTTCCTCCCATACCCATTCAACCTGTGTCTCTGTTCATGTATCTACCTGCAGAACACTTGTTGCAAGTGGTATATATATCACTGTTTACCTCTATGCCTTTTAGCCCTTCCATACTTCCCTGTAAGGATCTCAGGTAGCATAGTGGTTACGAATCAGGCTGTGAACCGAAAGGTCAGCAGTTGGAAACTACCAGCTGTTCCGCGGGAGAAAGATGAGGCATTCTGCTCCCGTAAAGATTTACAGCCTCAGAAACCCTGTACAGGGTTGCTATGGGTCAGAACTGACTCCACTGCACATAACAGCAACAATCCTTCCCTGTGTCTTCACCTGTCTTCATCATTCTTCTACCAACTTCCTTCTTGTATATTGCCCTCTTCGTCATACAAGTTAACATATATCTACCCTCTAACCAGTGAATTATTCTTTCATTCCCTCACACCCCTAGTAGCCATAAAAGAATGCTTCTTTTAGTATGAAAACCTTTACTTTCATTCTTAAAACAGTGGATTGATACAATATTTGCCTTTCTGTGATTGACTAATTTCACTTAGCATAATATCCTCCAGGTTCATCCATATTATGTGGTGTTTTGCAGATTCAATCATTATTGTTCAATGCTGCGTAGTATTCCATCGTGTGTATGTACCAAAGTTTGTTGATCCATTCTCGCATTGATGGACCTTTAGGCTGTCTCCATCTTTCTGCTATTATGAGTAGTGGTATGATGAACATCGGTGTGCATTTATCTACTTGTATCCTGGCTCTTATGTCTTGTGTGTATATATATCAAGTAGAGGGAATGCTGAGTCCTATGGCATTTCTATTTCCAACTTTCTGAGACTGCACCACACCATTTTCCACAGTGACTGAGCCATTTTACAGTCCCATTAGTAATGTAGGAGAGTCCCAGTCTGTCCACACACTCAACCAGCATTTGTTGTTCTGTTTTTTTGTTGTTGTTTTTTAGCTTTGCTATTAATGCTGGTGTGAGATATTTTATTGTTGTTTTGATTTGGCGAGCCATTAGAGAGATGCAAATCAAAACAACAATAAAATATCTCACACCAGCATTAAAAGGAGCTCTGGTAGCGTACTGGTTACGAATCGGGCTGTGAACCTTAGGGTCAGTGATTCGAAACTACCAGCCACTCCGCAGGAGAAAGATGAGGCTTTCTACTCCCGTAAAGATTTACACCTTCAGAAACCCTGTACAGGGTCGCTATGGGTCAGAACCTACTCAACGGCACTTAACAACAACAACAATGGCTAGTGATAGTGAACATTTCTTCATATGTTTGGTCTATACCTTTAAAATTACTTAAATCTATATTGTATCTGCATAGAGGAAATACTCTACAATGCTACACTGAGCAGCTTTCCCAACTCTGTGGTGATGATGCCCCACTGGTAGCTTGAAATCAGTTGTGGTGAAAGGTTTTACACTACAGAAATAGTAAGCCCTACACATAAGACTATTTTCCCCCCAGAATGGTGTTTAGTGCTGTCTAGTCAGTTCCAACCCATAGTGACCCAGTATC